CACACACACACACACACACACACACACTTCTATCTAACCTATTATGGCCAAAAGGCATATGTATGGCATATCTAGTGAGTTGTAATCTACAGTAAGAAAATATTTTCATTAAATTGTAGTCATAGTTTGAATGCTGTGAGGGTGTATGTCTATCTTTAAGTGAAGACAAAGTGGAACAACCAAAATTTCATTTTGGTCTAATCCAGGGTGTCTCAACCCTGGTACTACTGACATCTCAACCTGGATAATTATTTTGTTATGAGAGGCTGACTTGTGCATTGTAAGATCTTTAGCAGAATCCCTAACTTCTACTAATTACATGCTATCAGCACCCTCGAGTCATGAAAACAAAAAATGTCTCTGGTCTCCAGACATTGCCAAATGTCACCAGAGAGGGATAAGGAATCATCCCAGCTGAGAAGAACTGGTCTAATCAAACATCACCAGCACTGGCCATTTCTGTTTTGCCCTTCAGAACCCACATGAAATAGTTTCACAAGTTTGTAAACTAAAAATTTTATATAAATCTACTGCATAAATCTATCCCAGGCATCATAACAAGATGAAAAATTTTCACATAATATTTTTTCTCTTCCTTCCTTCTCCTTTTTTTTTTTTTTTTTTTTTGAGATGAGATCTTGCCCTGTCACTCAGGCTGGAGTGCAGTGGCATGATCTTGGCTCACTGCAACCTCCACTTCCCGAGTTTAAGATATTCTAGTCCAGATAATATTTTCAGTGGAACTGTGATGTATGGGCTTTATGGAGCTCATTAATTCCATTTTAACAATTAAAGTACTAATCTGAGTAACACATACTTTATTAACTTTTATATGTGTTTTTGTTAAGGCTTTTACATTTTTAATGGTATACTAGTGAAAATGTGTTCTTTTTTAGGTAACTACTAAATAATAATAGCTCAAAAGAGGAAACATATTCAAAGTTTCACTCAAAGTGAGTATTTAACACAGTTTCCTCATGGTACATTCTCACGTTTTTGTTGCTGTATAGCAAACCAGTTCTCCAATAGAATCAATACTCTCAAATTCTTAACTTTCTAAGTAACAATATAATCTGCACTATCAACAAGTCATATTTTAAATGCTAATTTTTATAATAACTTCAATATTTAATTGCATTTAGAAATGGTCTACTTCAATGACGTAGAATTTTGCCAAGGGCTTTCTTACGTTGATGTCATGTTAAATTAACCCATCAAAAAATACCAGCCATTATTGTTTACATAGTAACATGGTATGCCAAGTTTTTACTGTTAAAATTAAACTAGAACTTTTTGGTACAATTTACCTGAAATTTGGTGACATTTAAAATAATAAAGAGATTGAGTTCCAGTGTCTCATTTTAGCTTAAGACATTCCAAAGTATGAAGACAACGAGAGGTTTCCTTTACCCGTCTCTGAAATGTAAACACTTTTGGATGCTTGTAATCTGTCAGTAGAGTTTTCTTGCTGTGTATCAAAGCTAGTGTAAAAAGCTAAGTAGTCCTACCTGCTACTAAGGAAATAAATAGCTACTAATTCACATCTTTTTACTTGTACAAACTATACCTTGTGTGACCATGCTCAACACCAAGCCCATTCATGAGATTTTGGGTAAAATCAGGATGAGTAAGATAATTCTGCTCATTCCGGGTAAGCATTTGGGGTAAGACTTGCATCTCGTGCTGCTGTGGGTATTATGTGCAGTAACCAGTGAGCTTGGTTGTCTTATATCAACATGTAATGGATCGTGCATAACACATTTGTGATTCTCCAACACTGGTTACAAATTTTCGCCATACCGGGTCATATGAGTTCAGCTTTCATAGTTGCACAGAAATGAGCTTTAACTTTGTGTGTATGTATGTGTGTGTCTACATGTTTGTACATATGCATTCTTGCATGTATGCACACATGTCCTTTATCTTGCAGTGAATATGCCACAGTAGGTAGAAAAGGGATTTGTCTTCTGGTCTGTCTTCCACAGAGACTAAGCTTTCCATCATTGTGCTTTACTGTATTTCTGAATATTGAATTATGAAGACAATTATGCCAATTTACAAATAAATAATGCACTCATATTGGTAGTCTTTTGCACTAAAATAAAAATGACAATGCAAACAGGCTTACATAATGCAGACCTAAAATTGGGTTTATGTCCTAAATTCTGAGGAAGGAAAGTGGCTCCTGTTATCCAGACTATGAATCAACACAGTCTAAATTCAATAATGCTTCACATTGTCTCTGTAGAGTTGACAAAAGAGGAAGAAGCAATTCTTATGTAAAATTTCAAAAATAGAGGGGAGCTATAGTTAATATAGACGTGGCTCAACAAATCACAATTATCAGCTGTAACATTTTGTATCTTTATTACTCAGGAAGGGATTTTTTTAAATCTACCCACCCACTTCCCCTAAAGAGGGCAAAAATAAATAATAATTTTTTTAAAAACCTACAGTTCTAAAGCCAGTCTTAATAAGACAGGTTCTTATTGATATTATTAAGCCAGTTTGTGTTGACAATCAGCAACACTTTTACCCCAACATTTTCTTTATTCTATATTGATTGGTTCCTCAGCCCTAACAACTCAAGTCTGTCTTGTTTTTGAACTGCATCTTCTAGATTTGAACCATGTGCTTTACCAACAGCATTTCACCAGCATTTTACTAGTTGCAAATCTGCCATGTGCTATAAAGTATTTCACAGGATGTTTCATTTCTTATTTGTCCTCCAAGCCAACACTGAAAGTAAAGTTTTGCTTGGATCTTCATCGCTCCTTTCCTGTTTTTCCAAGGGCCCATGCAAACCCATGAAACAACTTAACCATTCCCTCTTGGAGTCATGTAGAAAACCTAACAAAAATACCCTGGTTCAGTCCTTTCTTCTTCCATTGTCCCTAGGAAGTGGGCTGGAGTGAGGTATCTTCACATGGGTCCAACTGCATTCTCAGTGCACCGATTTTATGAAGATACCAGAGTTGGAGAAATTCCTCGGGCATGGCATGGAAGCCAGAAAAGGGTAAGACGTTATCATAGTAGTGGTGGCTGATGGGCTGCTCATGCATATTCACAGAGAAGGGCCAGAAGCCATAGATGGCCACCTCTTCACAGAGACCCAGAGCTGCGCTCACCAGAAAAAGTCCTGTGGACAGGCGCTTGGCATGGATTCCTCTACTTTTCCAGAACTTTCCAATGCTACGCAGAAAGTTGGGGTTGGCAAACAGCACTGTTTGATTGGCACCAACATCTGACAGTGTATAATAAACCCGCAAAGATGGCTCTGTTCCTGTCTTCATAGAAAAGGCAGGCATGTAGATGTAACTGTGGTTATAGATTTTCATGTTGTCCACAAATGTCTTTCTGGACCACAGAAGGTTCTGAAACCTATTAAAGAAAAAAAAAATGGTTCAATTAAACCTAGAGAAAAAGAAACTCACTAAAACCCACTCTGCTGTCTTTTGGTGACCGTGATACCTCAAATCATCTCAATGAAACACATAAAAAACACTTTATTCGTATTTAAAATCCTCCTTGAACTTATCAATTATCTCTCATCAAATAGTCTGGCTTTTCCCCTGACCCCAACTTCTTAAACACAGTTAACATTCGTTAATGGGGCTCCCTCTGAACTAAAATGCATTACACATTTGTTCTCTTCCAGAATGTTTTTGCCTGAAATGTAAAATGGTTTAATTCTCATAAATTCCTAAAGGTTGTTGGCTGGAATTTTGATGAAAGGTACTCAGGCGGTCTAACGTAAGCACAGGAGTGGTTTCTTCATCTGCATATCAAAGGAATCACTTCTAAGATGCCTCTTCCCACTGAAATTCTATGATTCTATAAATATTCAGATTCATCAATGCTACAACTATAATATTACATGGAAAAAGAAAAGCTTGTTACTAGTACAAAATAATGCAGGGAGTTGCCCATATTGCTTGCTCCAAAGAACTCTACTTTCCTATGTTCTTTCAGTTTGGATTACATGAAATTCTAATGCAGTTGTAGAAACAAAGATACAAATAAGTACAATATAATGTTCTAAATGCAATGTTCATATTTGTATAAAATATTATGGAATACAGATGAAAAAAATAACTCTGACTTGAAAGAGGGAGTGTGGCCCAAGAAAGCTACAGAGCCGGAATAACATTTAAATACACTTCTTATAAGGAAGCAACAGAAAGAACAGCAACTGAACTCGAAGAGACACTTTGGTTATAGGCAAGAGTGCACAATATACTGAGGCAATGACAAGGATTCCCTGTCCCTAGAATGTGGGAGGTGCTAATGGCAGGGGCAGTGGCTGAAGACAAGGCACTCTTTGAAAAACCTCTTATGTCTGTTTTGTTTGCTTGAACGTCACATGTGGTTATGGGAAATCTTCACAGCAGTTACTGCTTACAGCACTTATGACAACTGTCAGTCTGTGTAAAAAAAAGGTACTCTAATAGACTAGAAGATTACCTTGGAAGGAAGTGGCTGGTAGCCTGGAGACCAGGTAAGAGGTTGCTAATATACTCAAGTTAAAAAAAAAAGAAAGAAATAAAGAGAGAGAGTGCGAAGGGTAGAGAGAGAGAAAAGCAACAAACTAGACTAGGGCCTTGCAACTTTTAATTCCTTTGACCACGGGAGCTGCCCGTCTTGGGTTATGTGCAGGTGGAGCAGCAACATCAAAGAATGAACTGAGCCACAACTACCAGAGGAAAGTCTGGCCTGACATGTTGGCAGGCTCATCATAATTAGGTGAAATTAAAGTTCTGAATACACAAATCCACAGGATTGTATGTAGAAATCAGTGTTATTTACTCTGACTGCCCAGAAAGGTATGGTTCTCAAGGCCAGAAGGAAGGGAAATCTCTCAAGTTGTCTTCATATCCTTGATCCAGTAGCCTGCTTTCTTGATCCAGTAGCCTGCTTTATCAATTTTCCCTGGGCCCTGATACAGAAGTAATAACAGGATCTTTAGTTAGATTCACTTTAACTTAGAAGGAGCCATGGAAGCACATTCAACCATATCTGGAGCTGGGCCAGCCTCTCTCCCAGGAATACAAATTCCTGCTTCCCAACTTCCAGATGGGCTCTGCTCAGCAATTCTTTTCTCCCTTCCATTGCCCACTAATGTCTTCCACTCTCTTCCTGAAATACCAGTGCTTTCCCAATCATATAGACACACCATGCAGATAACCTCCTACTCCTTTTGAGCCATTGGTTCTCACACTTTAGTTAGAATATCCCAGAGAGTTCACTAATATCACAGCTTCCTGGGTTCTGATGAGAGTGATCCAGGGGCTGAATTTTTGCCCAGTACTCCTGGGTAATCTGACACAGGTGGGACATACTTATTTAGAAGATCAAAGCATCAGTGTAAGCTGTCTGGCTTTCTGCATCCATCCCTCACCACCTTTTTCTTTATATCTTCTAATGACATCCTTACTGCCATTCTAAGAAGTGCTCCATCTTCCGCTCTGTATCTTGAGACAAGCTGTTTCACATATCCTGAAGAACTCATGTTCCAAAGTGGGTCTCGCCTCTTTAAAAAAAAATTCAATCTCTCCATCTCGACTGAATTATTTCCTCTGTCTTCTACATATGGTTAGAACTTTCCCCTTCAACTTTACTAAGGTATATTTTACAAATAAAAATCGTGTATATTTAAGGTGTGCAATGTGGTGTTTTGATATACACATACACTGTGAAATGATTACAAAAGCAGGTTAGAACTTAAAAACACTCTTCTTAATATGCTCACACTGTTCCCAGTGCTACATTCTCGTTCTGTCATTTCACCATCAACCTTCTAGAGCAGTTAGGATACCTCTATTGCTTTCCTTGCTTGCCTCCATTCCCTCCTTATTCCTGTACAGAACGGCTCCCATTTCACAGGGCCCTGCTGGCTGATGGAACTGATCCCCGTCTCTGTAGTGGACTACATACTAGTGGAGAATTACATGCTGCTTCAATAAAGTCAGGATGATTGATTTTCTGTTTCCTGTCTTAAAGCCAACTGATTAGTCTTGAAGGGAGGAGCTTTCCCTCTCTGAGTTTTCACTTTGAAAATGAACACACAGCTTGAATTTACTACAGTCCTAATTTTATTGACACTGTTATTATTTTTACCTCTCCCATTCTGTGACAAATGACATTATTATTTAAGAATTCAATTCAATTCAATAATTGTTATGGTACACTGAATATGTTTAATAATATCCTGATCAAGAGTTTAATGGGGTTGGTATTGAATTTTATTACATTATCACAAAATTCAGCTGGAATAAGAAAAAAGGGGTGCTCCAGTTTGTCTCTCCAGCCTCATACTCAGCTACTCCTCATGTCCTCACCCTATGCCTCAGCCATCCCTGTGTGTGTACCTGTCCACAATTTTTATTGCATATATAGATTCATTTTTGCTGATCTAGTCACTGCCCTGGTGAAGTTGTGTCTATAAATCAAGACCCAACTTAAGATTTCCTTTATTAGGCTTATTCCTTCCTTCCAACTTAAGCTTTCAAAAGTCTTCTCTGAATTCCTGAATAATAATTGCTCATACTCTCTAAGACTATGTACTCCTTGAAAACAAAGGATGAGTCCTATTCATCCTTTAATTTTTATAACCTAGCTCAGAATATTTGTGTACTATATGAATAGAAAACTACTAAACAATAATTTTTAAACATAAAAAAGAAATCAGACCAGCCTATGAATTAAGAATAAAAATGAAGTAAGATCAGCCCATATATTATTAAAATAGAAATGATTAATTTATAATCAATATGAGCATAAAAGGAAAAACAAAAACAGAGTAGAAAGCACAAAAGTGTACCACATTTTACAAAGGAATTGAATATGTGATAATGGGGGAAAAACCAATAAGATTTTTCTAATTACTTAATAAACAATATTGAGATAGTTAGCTAACAATTTGGAAATCTGAGAGGGAACAGATTCATACTTCACGAGACAATTACTAAATAATTTTAAGATAAGTAAGATAGATATTTAAAATCTAACCGGCAAAGCGACTCAGGTCTACAATCCTAGCACTTCAGGCAGCTGAGGTGGGAGGATCGCTTGAGGCCAGGAATTCGAGACCAGCCTGGGCAACCATCTCAATAAATTATGAGTAAATATTCAGTAAAATCTATGCTACAAAAAAACTAAAAAAAAATCGAACTTATCAGACATTTGCAAAATATATTTCAACAAAGGAAAATATTGACAACATTGATTATGCCATATTGTAAATTTTCATTACCATGAAGAATAAGATAACTAAAGTAAAAAGGGAATTACTCCAAGAAATATTTACAGCAAATATGACAAATCGGTATCAATAAACTGTAGTATCTGAATATATTGGTACATTGATATGAAAATGGACAGTCTAGAAGGAATTTCAATTAAAAATGTTAAAGCATTTGGTTACAGTTACAAGACGCAAACTGAATACAAAAGGGAATATTAACAGAATAGAAAGAAACACAATAAAGAGTGAGGGTCCAGCTCTCACCTCCTATGACAAATCTCTAGAAATAGGGGAAAATCAGTTTTGAAAAGTCCATCTCCATTCTGAAAATAAGAAAGAAAGCAAACCTCAGTGGATCCTGAATCTAGGTTACCTCAAAAAAACAGACAGCTTACCAAAGGAAACCAGAGCATGAAGTAACTTGTTGAGCATTCCTCTGAAAGGCAGCAGTAGCAGTGCCCTATGCCTGGAGGCAGGAGATACTAGCGAAAATGGTGTCTAACAGCAATCAGCAAGGTTATTGTTCGGATTATAGGGTAGCAGAGACACCCAGGTGGGCTGAACTCTAAAATCCTGCACTGATCAATTACCACCGTGTATGTGGAAGGAGGTGTCAGTTTCCAGGTAGGAAAAGTGGGTATGTGCCCAGAAAGCTGGCTCATCCCAGGGAAATGGAATTCTCAACTCATACAATATCAGCAGTCAGGCCTATAGTTCCCAAGTGGAATACCGGCACTGAGTAGCCCAAGGAGGAGACCTACAAGCAGTAACATTTGGGAACTGCCCAAGAGAAAGCAACGTTGCCACCTTATCAACCCAGAGTAAAACCCACCTGTTGGTAGGTACAGTCTCTGCATAGAGCTTCCAGTCACCAAACAAGAACACACAGGCAAGCTCAGAGGACACTGATGGATAGTGTCCAACACAAGAGTCAGAGCAGAGGGACTCACATTCAAAGGGCAGAGGAAAACTCTTAAACATCTATAATTAGTTTGTTTACTCATGTTCATGGCTACCACATCTGGACTAGGATGATATAAAAAGAAAAAGCATTTAGGTAATAAGAAAGTGCTGTTGGCAATTTAAAAAATATAACAAAAGGTGGATTTGGGTAAAGGAAAGCTCCAGAAATATAG